CGAAAGTAGGTCAACCTGCCACTTATGTCGCCCCCCCCCCCCCGCCTTCTCATTGGCATCAGCACCTGTGATTTCATTATCGGCTAAGGATTTGCTTGCTGCACTATGTGATTTTTTTTTTTTTTTCTGAAGCAGAAAACTCAATTCTTTCATTTCCTTCTGGACCTCGTATCCCATCAAATCCCATATTGGCCTGTTTGTCTTACCTCCTTTGTTACAAGTATTTGGGGGCTTCTCTCCCTTCCCCCCAGCCCCCAGCTCTTGTTCAACTTTTCCTTCCAGGACTTGATGTCCATAGGGACTCTTTTCCCTCGATCCCTCCAGATCCGTCTTCCATTACCCATCTAGAGAAAACAAACCTGATCTTTCAGACCACTTTTAAAATGCTTGTTTCCAGACTCCTGCGTGCTAAGACAAAACAAAACCAACTCCAGCCGCATAGCAGCCCCTGCCTAGCACCCCGCCCTTTCTCCTCTCCCTCACCTCAGAGTTTACACCCTCCAGTCAAACCAGCGTAATTTATAAAGCAACTACTAATAAATAATTAAGCAGTTTTTATCACAATCAACTCCTGGTATGCCTCAGGGGTGAATATTCCCATGTGCTCTTGAGCTCTGTGCTGTGCATTCGGATCTATCTATAACTTGGCTGCTTTGGTTGGAGACAGTGGCTAAGCCTCCCAGGGAAGGCAGAGCAGACCATGCAGCCAGCTGTCCCACAGGCTCATCTCTAGAGAAGGCTTCAGACTGCTCAGTCACATCTCTGTATCTCTGAACTCATATTAGTGTTGCCCACTAGTCAAGCCAAGGCGGGTGCAGCTGCACAGAGAGCTGTAGGTCTTCCTTTATTAAAAAATGATTGAGACAGTGTCATTCTTTGTCTAATATCATCTTTCACAGCCCTAGCAACACTTTTAACATGCCGGATATTTGAAAGCTTTTATCAGAAAACACTGGCTCTCTCAAGTCAAAGGTGTTATTTAATTTAGTTCTAGAGTGGCTTGAGAAAAATAAGTTTATGTTTCTATTAACATTACAGTTATATTTGCATTGCTGATGGACTATTTAACAGTTCACATCATCAATAAAATTACTGCTAAAGCACGAGGTATATTAATCAGAAATTGTTGGATATGAGGTTGTTTCCTTGTTTATTTTCTCAAGTTTTTCATTCACAAGAAATTGCTAACTTGTGATGGAAGAAAATGAATCATTTCATGTTACACAAAGCAGTGGCTCCTAGAACATGGTAGCCATTTCTTCCTGGAGATTTACATATATGCATAAGTACTGATACATACCACCACCACCTCCTACCTCTGAGGAATGTGCAGATTCATATATGTGTAAACAGATCTGCTGTGCCTATTGGCTATTGTGCTAAATGCCACTAAGAAAGATGCTCAAATATCTGGAGTGTTCTACAGATGATATGAAGTAATCATCAACTTGTAGAATGTAAACTACATTTTTTAGTGTTTTCCCTTGTAAAGAAAGTAGACAAAAGTTACTTTATATGCTATTGCTAGTCCTATGTTTTAACAGCTTAACTGAAACATAACTAACACAATAGAGTACAGGTATTTAATATACACTATCTTTTTTGTTTGTTTGTTTGTTTGTTTGTTTGTTTGTTTTGAAACAGGGTTTCTCTGTGTAGCTTTGGAGCCTATCCTGGCACTCACTCTGGAGACCAGGCTGGATAGCTCAGCCGTTAAAGGCTAGGCTCACAACCAAAAATATATGCTATCTTAATACACCTATGAATGTTACTAAGTATTTCTAAGTAAAAAGTTAGAAATGAACAAAGAAAAAGTCACTATGTTCATACTACAGAAATCCAAGTTAAAATCTTTGAACGTACCCTTCCCATCTTTAAAGCTATATTTCTATATACACATAAAGTAGACAAGAATTTCTAATTCTATCAAATTTTAATCAAACTATGTATATTGTGGTGTGTTGTTCTGACTTATTACTAATGTGATGGAAAATTTTCATGCCATTAAATATCATCCAAGTGATGATATTAATATATATATATATATATATATCACATTTTTGTTTAATAGTAACAAAATAATTACAAAATGAATGATGAAGAAAATAATCTCTAGCCACCTCTAACCTATGGCCAACACTAGCAACCATTAAAATATAACCACATAGATAACCATGCAAAAGTCTACATATATATAGAAATAAAATATACATAAAAATATACAAGATACATAAAATAAAATAGATGAACATATGCACAAATTTTAAAGTTATCAAAATAACAAACCATACATATTTTAGCTTGTTATAAAGAAATTTTAATAAGTAGTTAACATATTTAGAATATTGGTTGCAAAAAGTTCTTTAAGATAGATGCATGAGCTGGGCAGTGGTGGCACATACCTTTAATCCCAGCACTCAGGAGGCAGAGGCAGGTAGAACTCTGTGAGTTTAAGGCCAACCTGGTCTACAGAATGAGTTCCAGGACAGCCAGGGCTACATAGAGAAACCCTGTCTTGAAACCCATCCCCCAAATAAATGCATGATAAAGAAGTAATTCTCACCAATAACTAATAATAGAGAAAATCACTATTCAAATTTTTCAATAATACTTTTCTAAGGAGACAGATGTGAGCGTAAGCTGCATTGTTATGTAAACCCTATATTAACTAAACTGTGATGTTTGTATAGTCCATGTTATTGTACTTATGTTAAGGAAAAATTTAAATTCCAACCTCATTATATAAAATGAAATATTTTTTTACAACCTTTAGTGTAAGGAAATATTTAAAGCCTTGGCCATTTTTATAGATAATTGTGTGTGTGTGTGTGTGTGTGTGTGTGTGTGTGTGTGTGTGTGTGTGTGTGTGTGTGAAAGGCATATACCTGGTTGTCTGTGAGGTGAGATATGTTTTTCAAATGCAGGCAGGCCCTTTGCAGAGATGTCTTTTTTTGTCTTGTCAGTTGGCCTCCAAAGGTTATTTTCTCATTTTCTCATTTGTTTCATGGGTGATGTTCACACAAGGAAGTTTTCTTTGCCTTTTCCTTAGCATTTTTGCTTTGCTTAAACATTCGTGTGTATGCTTCTATCCGTCTAATTTGTAACTCGTCACATCTGGAAAGTGTTTGGAATGTGACACCAAGGAAGTGGGCATCTTGCATAGGTTGACTTGGCGTCTCTGTCACATCATAAATTCTTATGTGTGCATTTGAATTTTGATTTGTGCCGGAGGAGTGATGAAAACTGCAGCTCACTCCTGGGCTTTGTTCCTTTTCTCTGTCTCAATGTGGCTCTGATTTAAGGTTGTGTGCTTTTTTCTTACACATTATAAAATACCGTTATTAACGGCGTACATTTTGACTGATACACACACATTCAGCTCTTGCTCCTCTTAACGTGACATAAGCTTTCTACATCAGGCATACACAAGTCACAAAATTAGAGAGAAGCAATGAAACCACTTTCATCTTAAAACTCAGTAGCAACCACTGATATAACACTGTGGCCTTTTTAATTCCGCAACTACTTTTCACTTTCTAAGTTTGTAGGGGTTCAAGGAGATGCAAACACAACTCTTTAAATGATTTCCTAATAGTGACTGTTTTATTCTTCCAGCCAAGCTCCTGACTGTGAAATTCTTTATTGTTCCAGGGGAGTCTGAAACCAGTCTTTGAAAGAATTTCAACATGCAAATTCACACTCTGAAACAGAAAGCCCCCACTCCCCAGCCCCAGTTACTCATTTAAATGTAAATGCTCTATTTTCGCCAGCGGGTGGCAACCTCAACTTATACAGCTCCATCTTTTCAATGGAGCCACTTCATACAAAGAAAATGACTTCAAATGTCTGGCACCCTAACTCTAGCAGCTGTTGTTGCCCTTTAGTTGTGATTAAAAACTGAAAAGGTAAGACCTGAAGGACTAATCACAACTAAAAACACTGCAACATGCAATAAAATTACCACCACTAAATGAGGTTGTAAGCATAGCCTTTAATGACTAAGGCATCTCTGTAGCCGTGGGTGTGTGTGTGTGTGTGTGTGTGTGTGTGTGTGTGTGTGTGTTACAATAAAAACTAATGGGAAAAGAAGGCCATGAATTTGAAAGAGAAAAAGGAGAGTATATGGGAGCATTTGGAAGGAGGAAAGGGAAAGGAGAAATGTGACTATATTATATCTTCAAAGAAAAGAAAGGAGAAGAAAAAGACCACATGTCTCACGTGCTTCTAAAGCCCGGGTTACATATTTCCAGATAAGACTGCCTAAAAGCAAACACACGGTGATGAGGGGTCATTGTGACAAACAAGCAGCACATTTGAGCTGTCGGGAAAATGGCCAAAGCCCTGAGTGGAGCAACACCAGGCTTCAAGGCAACAGGTGTAGAGGAGGAATTGCAGGAACAGAAGCAAGCTCGTGGGCAATACCTAAAGAGGACTATGGGAAATAGCACTCTCCGTCCATTTTAGAAGCAAAAACAGAGAAAAATTAAACTAATTGTTTGTGATTTTTAGAGCACAAGTCTGTAATACCAGACATCAGATCTTGAAGACAACAGTGTGGGACACTTTCAGGGACAATTTGAGCTATACATTTATATACTCAGTCTCCAAGACAAATACAATAGACACAGGACATTGTGGGGTGGGGAGTATGGATGAACCATCCCCTTTCTTGCTCAGTCATTGGAAATGAACTAAATGGCAACCCCTTCATTAATCTAAAACCTCAAAATCAGGGCATACTGAAAGGCCAAGAGGAGGGATGGGATGGAATCTATCTTCAGATACCCCATGAAGACCTGGGCTTTATGTCCACTCCATGTACCCAGTGGTCTGCAGTGGCCCTGTGGCTAATCAGTCTATTGGTCCCTCTTGTTTCTATTGAGGCTGTGAAAGCAGGGCAAAAATCAAAAGTTGGGTAGAACTTTTGGCCAAATGGTAGGGCATACCTTCCAGTTTAGCTCAGTCAAGGCTAAGAAGAAAAACTGCTTAGACAAAGAACAATGACAAAAACAATAAAAATTGATAAAGAAACTAAGCATTCCAAGCTACAAGAGCAAAGGCCACTGGAGCAGGAAGTACTTCAAGAACAAAGGCCACTTGAGCAGGAAGTACCTCAAGAGCAAGGACCACTGAAGCAGGAAGTACTTCAAAAGCAAAGGCCACTGGAGCAGGAAGTACCTCAAGAGCCAAGGCCACTGGAGCAGGAAGTACCTCAAGAGCAAGGACCACTGGAGCAGGAAGTACCTCAAGAGCAAGGACCACTGGAGCAGGAAGTACCTCAAGAGCAAGGACCACTGGAGCAGGAAGTACCTCAAGAGCAAGGACCACTGGAGCAGGAAGTACCTCAAGAGCAAGGACCACTGGAGCAGGAAGTACCTCAAGAGCAAGGACCACTGGAGCAGGAAGTACCTCAAGAGCAAGCACCACTGGAGCAGGAAGTACCTCAAGAGCAAGCACCACTGGAGCAGGAAGTACCTCAAGAGCAAGCACCACTGGAGCAGGAAGTACCTCAAGAGCAAGCGCCACTGGAGCAGGAAGTACCTCAAGAGCAAGCACCACTGGAGCAGGAAGTACCTCAAGAGCAAGCGCCACTGGAGCAGGAAGTACCTCAAGAGCAAGGGCCACTGGAGCAGGAAGTGCCTCAAGAGCAAGGGCCACTGGAGCAGGAAGTACCTCAAGAGCAAGGGCCACTGGAGCAGGAAGTACCTCAAGAGCAAGGGCCACTGGAGCAGGAAGTACCTCAAGAGCAAGGGCCACTGGAGCAGGAGGTACCCCATTCCAGCCTCCAGGTCTCTGAAGCTCAACTGGAAACAGAAATCTAAAAATTCAAAGGAAACTTGTTTACACAGCATCCACTGGGACTCTGGAGTGGCATTGCCTGTATTCCTACCTTTTTCCCCCTCTCACAGGGTATCTAAACCCTCCCATTAGAACCATCCTCTTCTGCTAGTCTCTTGTAAGCAGTGCAGTTAGAAACATGGAGAGTTTCTGGATAAAATATAACATTCAAGCAATTAAGACCCGTACAGAACTTCCATAACTTGAATAATTTTCTTCATTTATAGAGCACCTAACCTGGAGTGGTAGCACAAGCCTTTAATCCCAGCACTTGGGAGGCAAAGGTAGCAGATCTCTGAGTTTTAAGGCTAGCCTGATCTACATAGTAAATTCTAGACAGCTAGGGCTACATAGAAAGACAGTGTCTCAAAAATAAATAACTAAAATAAAATTTAATATATATGTATATATATATATGCGCATGCACACACATATAGTCTAATTCCTTGAGCTTTTTAAATATTAGCCTAGAACTTGAATAAATATTGTTTAAAAGTTGATTTAGTTGTGAACTGAGCTAACACGGGCAGTCTAGTCTCTCAAACACTATTTAAGCCACATTCAGCAATCTAGGGAGTTAAGATTGCCTCAGTAAACAGCCATGAAGGAACTGATACATGACTGAGTGCCAGCATGAGCTTTACAGATGCCAAGAGCTTTGGGAGCTTGGAGTCAGGGGTGGCTGTGGCCAACAGGAGGACTTAACAGCTAACATTCACAGAGTGTTCTCTTGGTGCCAAACCTGGCCTGTGTCCTCCAATGCATGAGCTCACTCCATCCTCACTTCAACTCTGTGAGCTAGACACTATTATTATCTCTGCTTTTCACATGAGGAAACTGAGGCTTAGAAATGTTAAGGGAACTTATTCAAGAGAACATAGTGAGTTGCTGGGGATGTGTGGGTCATGAACTCAGACAACCTAACTCCAAAGCCCTGCAGCTTAGAATCTCTGCTATGTGTCCACAGAGCTCAGCTGTGGCCCATCCATCTCAGTCATGCCCGAGAAATCAGAGGTGTCTCATTTAGCTTGGTTCATGGTGGCTGCTCTCTGATCTGCTGGGACTGGCACTTCCCAGCTCCCTTTTTTATGTGAAACCAGGCAAACTGGCCCTAATGAAACAGTCTGAAGCTTTGTCACATCTGAGTCCATTGCCGTCATGAGTCTGGAGCTCACTGTGACAGTTTAGGGCTCTGTGAAAATGAGCAGCGGAAATGTCAAAACAACCCATAATGGAAGATTTTTGAAAGGGGGTGATGTTATGATGCTTGTTTTAATTCAGAAAGGGTAATACAGATCAGTCAAAGCTATTTGCATCTTGTTCATACAAACAACAGGCAAAACAGAAAACATTCTACACAGAAGGCATTCAGAAAATACCAGGCTGATCACAGCAGGCTTTGGGGAGAGCTTTCTTAAGATTTTTTTTTTTTATTGAAACTTAAATTTTGAATTCTAAGCACACAAATTTATAGTGAGGAGGAGTCAGAAACAAGTGTGGAAAGTTCTACAGAGCAACAGAAGGAAATATAATCCCAAGAAAAAGGCTCACCCAACTTAGTTAAGATCTTTAGGTTAACTGGAGACCTTAAACACGTTAAAGTAATAGTCACAATCTCAAGAAAGGTCTCTGAAAAATGCAAAAGGAATTTCAGCAATGGTAACAAAATACGTGGCCCTTGTATATTTTTCAGAATGGGAAAAATAAAGCAAGAGGTGTCCACAAGCTTGTGACTAGCTCCAATTACACTAGTGAAAAGTTAAGGAAACTATCATGAAAAAGTGATTTTATGTCTTTTGGTAAACAAGCTTAAACATTTCTTTAGACCAGTGCTATATTTAAGGAGCCAAATTCTGCCTCAAAGAGAACCAGCTGGCCATGAAATGCGATCTCCCAGTTGGATGAAGGATAAACAAAGTTGAGTTCCTTCGTGCAGAACATGCAAGGAAGACAGAAAGCATTTTGGTCTGGGATTTGCCCGGAGCAGGTGTCAGCAGCCTTCACGGTGGCTGCCAAGTCTCTATTTATTCCCCCTAGCAGGATAGAAGGAAAGATGCTTGTATCTTTAGGTCACTGGCACACACGTGCCCAGAAGTAGATGTCCTTTGAGGCAGGTAGGTTATCTATGAGCAGAAACATAGGGAAGAAATAACCCCCATGAGTACACTGCTCTGCAGAAAACATGGATCCAAAATGTTCTCTCCAGAAAGCTCTCTCCACGCATCCCAGACACTACCCTGAGCTGGTTTATATCCTTGAGAACCTTTAATACCTTTAAGGCAGATTACACCTCCTGTTTATTATTGTAAAGGCTGGAGAGGAGCCTTGGCTCCCAAACAGCATTGCAGCCCCCTGGGATAATGTGTCCCAGCTGGAAACAATTCAGTTCTGCCTATTTGTGCTGGAATAGGGGTGCAGGGCAAAGGCCAAGATCACCACTGGTTAAGACAGCCAGCAGCTGCTTATATACTTGTATTTACTCAATTACCCTGCTTTTATTTGTGCTAAGTCAATGTTAAGGCTGGATTGTACAACTACAATCCTGTTTTTACAGCATTTTATGTCACTGGGTTGATCAGTACACAAGAGTAGTGGAAATCTACTAAAAAAATAAAATAAAAGTAAAGAAACAGTCTTCTATGTGCAGGATTTATAGGAAAAATCACATTCTTTGGCTTATGCCCAGTATGGTAGCAAATCAGATGTTTTAACTTTTATTTACCTTCCAATCAAGTGGAGCAATGTAGTTACAGTTTTGCAGGTAGTCATAATAAATTAAAACTCTCACCTGTACTTTAATCAATTAAGGAAACAATTACTTGTTCTATTTTACTTCATGCTTTTCTGTTTTTATTCTTGACCCTAAACAAAAGTTCTTACAGACACCCACAGCTAAACACTGATCTTAACTCTGGAATCCAGTTGCAAAGAGGGAGGAGTGATGAGCAAAAGGGTATGACCAGGCTGGAGAAACCCACAGAAACAGCTGACCTGAACAAGGGGGAGCTCAGGAACCCCAGACTGATAGCTGGGAAACGAGCATAGGACTGATCCAGACCCCCTGAACATGGGTGTCAGTGAGGAGGCCTCGGCAATCTATGGGGCATCTGGTAGTAGATCAGTATGTATCCCTAGTATACGAATGGACTTTGGGAGCCCATTCCACATAGAGGGATACTCTCTTAGCCTAGACACATGGGGGAGGGCCTAGGCCTGACCCAAATGATATGACAGACTTGGAAGATTCCCCCATGGAAGGCCTTACTTTCCCTGGGGAGCAGAAAGAGGATGGGATAGGGGGCTGGGGAGGAACAGGGGAGGAGGGGAGGAGGAGGGAACTGGGATTGACATGTAAAACAAGCTTGTTTCTAATTTAAATATTAAAAAATGAAATAAACAGAAAGGAGAAAGGAGTAAGTATGGAAAACCTGAGACTTTCAAACATCTTTCTAATTTGGTTATTTTTGTAACAAAACAGACACCTTCCAATTTTTACAGCTACGAGCTAACACCCCCCAAAAGCACGTTTCTGTCTCTTCCCAAACCAGTCATGACTGAGACATTTTATTGTTCTTAGTTCCCAACATCTGTCTTCTTCTCATGAACTTGGTCTCAGCAGCTTCCATGGGAGTTATCTCACCACACCTCAGCTCTAATCTATGTTTTGGGTACCACCTCATTCTGTCCCTGACTAATAAGGGTCAATATCTACCAGGAATCACAGTCAGGAAACACACATCCCAAGTTTGTTCCCAAGATTTGCATGAAACTTTGGGGAAGAAACACTTTCTCCCAATTCCTCTGGACTGGAATCTTAGAGAAGTTACTTCCAGGTCTAGCTTGAGACTGATGTCAATCCAGGAGAGACCGGGCTGCAAGGAAGTGACCTGACTTGATTGCTTCAGGACTTCTTAGGACTATTCCTGTGTCAGCATATCAGACACCCAACACCACCATACGTCCTTGACTCTAAAAGCATTCCTTTCATGCTTCATGCCCAGGAATCTCTGAAGATTAAATCATGATGTAGCTGGCACTGCCTGTGCACAAATGCATCCAAGTAAGAAAGAACCCTGTGCTTGCTTGCATCGCGCACTATGTGTTTGCACAGGGACTTAAATTCACCATTCAGATTCTCACTTAAAAGATCTTCAAAAGGGTTGGCCCATGAAGATGCACTAAGTTGAAATGTTTGTATTGTCATAACAGAAGCAAAGGGTTCCTTGAAATGCAGCTAAAGGCATTAGAAATCACCAAACTTTTAAAAATAGATCACATCTTAAAGCTGGAAGAGATTAGCAAAAGTGATACATGTTTAAAAAGAACCATAGACCCACCTTTAAATACATGCCTGTCAAAAATCATTGGTTGTATTTCAAGAGAAACTATTTAACATCAGAAATATTTAGTTGAATTAAACATGAATAGGAAGTGTATGCTTGAAAAAAAAAACTAAGAGAGGAGGTCAAAAATCCCATGTTATAGAATCAACAAACCATAATTATACTAAAGTCAGTCTTCTAGGAAATATGCTTTTCACATAGTGTTATATATGACTGTCTATGGATGAGAAGGATTTGGAATCAGACATTAAAATGAGTTCAATGTAAACGTGTTGAAGCCATGGGCAGAAAATGCCATTGCTTCTTAAAGTCACTTCACACAGGCACTGTTTCCTTTGTAGATCTTGATTCTAAGATTCAGACTAAACACATATGTCTTTTTTCCATACCAAGTAAGAGTCAGAAATGGGGGTGGGACATGGGAAGAAACTTCGATATTGAAGCTGTGATCCTGTGAGATATCCCTAAAAGAAAGACTGGTAGCCCCTGTAATTAGCCAAGACTGAAGCCACAAATTTAGGAGTTGCTGTGTGATGAGCCATCATTATTGAAAGTCTTTATAAGCAGGAAATCCCTGGGACCTTTTTATCTGGAGTGTGTCACAGTCACAACGACTATGTTAAGAAGTCAGCACAGGCATC